GCGGTTTTGGATACATTAAATAATTAGATAGAAATAATAACAAAGTTAAATATGATAATTAAATAGTATAAGCCTTAATTTATTGTTCCCATAAATTCTAAAATATTCTTTCTTTTACCTCACTTGCAGGTAAGCATGCGTCGACTTTCACATATTTTACAATCAACTGGGATCTAAAAGCGCGCTCTATAAGTACGTATATTAAAGCCGAAATTCTCACGACATCAGGCAAATTTAAATATAAACTTTAGCGAATGTTTTAAGAGCTCTTTAAGCGTGAAAGTTTGTTTTGTAACACAAGACCTGAGCCCATAAATCAACTTAATGAACTGAGTGAGCACTTACACTAGATGGTGGCATTGGGGTGTGCCTAAAAGTATGCTATGCGAGCACTTAAACATATTTTTGGGAGATGAGTTTTATTTAACACTTAAGCGACTATGGACTGGTTTCCAAATAACGCTCCGAGAATTTTGATGCGATTGTCATTAAAAATTGATAAGTAGGCGTCCACAGTGTCTAATGAATAAATAATAATAAAATGTTAAGTACTACTTTGAGTATCGCATCGATTCCCATTAAACACGTATATTGTGAATTGAATTCAGCGAAATAATTTGCTCATTTTGCGAGAGTTGGCGCGTAAAATGCGCTTCTCCTTGTGAAATACGCTTCATAAAATATGCAAGTCGAACAAAAAGCTGGCATCAAAATGGCGACGTTTCCTCTCGTTGCATTTGCTTGCTGCTGCTACCTTATCCTATTAAATTGTGCCGTCATTTCTCTGTATTATTTACTTCTCTTCTGTTTCTCTTTCTCTTCCTCTCTATCTTTTTTTTGTCTCCATTAACGCTGTCTATTTTTTATATACGCAAAACGGCGCAATTCCGGCCAATGTTCATTTTGCTAACTTGGCAAACTGCAAATTACAGGCAACTTTTGTTTAATTCCAGCACTAAGCGCCCTCCCACAACTCACCCGCTCTGCCGCTATTTACATTGGTGGCATTCCTTTCCTGTTTATATTTTGCAAAAAAAAAAAATAAATAAAAAATTTCAGCTTGTTTTATGAAACTTGGAGCCGAACTTAATGTTGAAAACTCTGTCAAGTTCTGCCAAGTTATTTTATATTAAATTCAAAGAACTCAAGAGTTTTATAAACCAAACTAGTTATTCGATCTCCACGCTTAAGTCGTCCGTTTTCGTATTCTATTTAATAATAAAATTCTCGAGCTAAGTCTTATACTTTGTTTTCTTAATTTTAATGAAATGCGTTACCTATGACGTCTCCGTCACTTTTCTGTTGAATATATATATATAGAAAAGAAGCTTCTTGTATAAAAAAGTATTTGCGGCAGCCATTCCTTCTTGTTGATATTTGATTTCATGTTGTTTTGAAATCAAGCATATCATAAGAAACTTACTTGAATTGTTTGATTACATTTTCGAAATGATCCTTATTTAATCTTCACAAGTCGCCCGAATCCAAAAATGTTATAAGAAATTTTCGTTTATCTATACATAATCAAAATATATATGTTACTTTAAACTCCTCGCATTGCGTATACGCCACGTGACGCGCGCACATCAAAGCAAACATTTAGGGCGCACTCGACTCAGTTTTAACTGTGACAATTTTCTGCGTATTTTGATATTTTTCGAGTTAACGTCAATTGAGCCAGTAACCAAAAACTGCCTTTCTCGGGTTGCCTTTCTGCGAAGTGGCGTGTCGCATCGGTGCAAGTGAGAATGGGGCAGCGAACATGGGGCACACGCTTTATTATTTATTGCCATAATCATGGTAATGGCAGCACAGCGAGAAAAACGACACGATAATCATATTTATTAACATTTTAACTTAATCAACACACGAAAAGAAAACCGACAACAAAACCAACAAATATTCGCTATTGGCTTTTGATGTAAAAAGGGAAACGTAATATAGAAGAGCAAGGAATGGGGTGCAAACTTAGCTAGCTCTGATTATATATTCTTGTACATCTGCGTTCAATTATGAGGACTTTCCTAGCCGACAGAAGTCACTGTTGGAAAATAGTACCTTGAGGTTACAGTCTTAGACGCACAAACCTAAAAAGACTCCTTCAATACGATTTTAGGCAGTTATAGAGAATTTTGCAGTCGGTTTCGCGCGCTCTAGGCTCTTACATGTTTTACAACTTGTTGTTGTTGCTGTTGTCAAGGCACGAAGTATATCGTTATTGTCGAGCGTACCATATTCGTTGCTACCATTTATACATACTTATCAGAATATATACACGTATATAAATAAACTCATCACTCGGAAGCTCTTTCACAAATTCTACAGTCACAAGATCTATACTTCTCAAATGTTATATTAACTTCCACATAATATATAACCATATTGAAAGCTGATCCGTATAATGTATACATCATCATGCTTAGAAAAAAAAATTCTTCCATATATATATATATTTTTTATGGAATTATTTTTTTAAAAATAATCTTGAAGTTAAAGACTTAATTTTATTAAGAAAAAACTATCATTCAAAAGTGTTCTTATGTTTATTGTACGTATGTTCTTTTTGTTACATTTAAGTCCAAATTTCTGTCATTCTTTTTTAACGGTCTCTTAGGAAAACTTGGGATAGATATTTATTTTACTTTTGATAATTATTTTACTTTTTAGTTTTGAAGAAATAAGACTTTATTTAATTTATTTTTTTTATCAACTCCCTTTTTAAGGATAAAGCTTATTTCCTAAGAGGAACATTTTATGTAACAAGGGTATTTTAAACTCGGTATATATTTGTATTATATTTATATTTTATATTTGACACACACTTTTGTATTTTCATTTTACCCTCAGACGCACACGCACCTAGCAACTTAATTCTCATATTTTCTTCAACCTGTGAATTTCCCGTACTTTCATTTATATAATTTATTTACCGCTTTTGAGTTTTCTTTTCCTTTTTATTTGTTTTTGTTTATTTTTTGTACCTTGCCGCAACTTTGGTCTGTTCTTGCCTTTTGGGGAACTCATCCCGCTGATAATTTCCTTTTTTTTTCGCTTTTGGCTTAAGTCTTGTGTTCGCATTACATTAACAGATAAGAAATGTGTTCAACAGATGTGCCACAATCTGTCGCAGGGAAAAATTTTGGGGAAGCTGAATTGCTAAAAAATTATAAAGAACATTTTGCAATGTAACGCAAGCACTTAGGAATTAGCTCTCTAATGTCGAAAACCGCCGTGTAAGCAATGCGACCTATTACAGAGTTCTAATGAATGAGTATTTTTTTTTCTGTTAATAACAAAGTTACAAATTGAATTTTGTTCTTCTGAGTATCTTTTTTATGACGTGGCTTGCTTATTATTTATAGAACTCGTTTTAAATGTCGTTTTTTTAATTATATGTATTATTTTTTCCTTATATTATTTTAAAATTTATTCTTATACATTGCTTGATTCCTCTATTTCTTCATTTTTTTGTTTCTTATATTGTTCTTGGGATATTTAAGAATCCCAAAACTGTCTACATAAGTGCTTATATGTGTAGTATGCTTTGCCATGTATATATTTATAGTTTTTATTAATATAGCAGCCGTTCGCATACAGCTTAACAAATCGGAAGTTTAGTCAGGGATTGCAAAGCAGTCTTTCATTCGAGTAAAGTGTAAAAGATTTATTTCTAGTTCAGTGATATGCAGTGTAACTAAGCCCTCTAATATTTTACGCAATTAGAAACACATAAATTTTTCACACACACACATTCTAAAGCACACACACCTCCGGATGCTCAAAAGTGCCCTTCCTGTGTGTTTTACAGCTGTAAATGCGACCGGAGAAGCGCTCACAAAACATTTTCATTTAATTGAAACAAATGCGTGCTGCGTATCAATTTAAGTAAACGAAACAAAAACAACAACAACAATGATAACAACTACATTGTATTAAAAACTATTGTAAATGCTGAGTAGTAAAGAGCAATAAAAACTAACGACTACAATAAGATCAGAGTATGCCACAGATTGTTGCCATCATGAACGGGACAGGCGACAGACGACAGGCGACTCTAAACGGCAAACGAATGAGCAGCGCTGTGTTTGTGTGTATGAATGTGTGGGTATAGGTGCTAGTATAGTGTGTATATTTACCATTATTACTGCGTGTGTGTGAGACGCTGTGTGTGACAGAGGATGCTGCCAATAGAAAGAGAGAGTTGTCGTCAGGTGGCACAGAGAAACTATAGCTGAACCAACAACTAGAACCACATGAGTGAGCCGTCAACTGTCGCCAATTGAATGGACGTAAATGGGGCAGCCACACTCAAAAAAAAAAAAAAGAAAACAAAACAGTTCTTTTTCCCCCGTCAAACACTATCAGAATCTATGTAAATTACACACAATTATCATAATACGTAAGTGTGCGTACGTGTTGTCTATGAACGTGTGTGTGCGTCTATGCCATAAATTGACACCAAGCGCGACTATTCAGATAGACACTTTATGGTCTCAACAACACACCATATCACAAAATGTGCACATACTCATAAAAAACTCAATAAAAAATGTGGGCGAGTTGATCTTTGGTGCGACTGTACTTAAGCTGGGACAGCAGAAGATAGACAGGAGGAGAGACTGAGAAACATCCAGAAGAAATGGCATATCGTGGAAGACACATAACTGCTGAGAATAAGATATATCGATATGTAGATATAGGGAAAGATAGATAGACAATAGAAAGGCAGCGAATGGTTAGTTTCAAACGATCTGTTGAGTCAATTGAAGTAACTGGCTTCAGACATTGACTTACTAAGTCTGTTCAATATTATGTTTCGAGCACTCTTTACACGTTAGAAATCAAATTCCATTTGAGAAATTTAAGAGAATTTTACGTCTTTGGCAATCCTTTATTTTGTGTTCCTTGAAGTCTTTTTGATAGGTAATGGCATGGCCCTTAAAATTAAATAGACAAAAAATAGTCCCAAATTAATCAGTTAATCTTCTGTTTTATTCGCTTTAGTTTTGATAACCATTCGAGAAATGTTCATATTGCGGCTTATTCCCATTGATATTGCTATTGCTTTGGGCATACCAAATACTCTGTGGCGTCTGTGATGTAATACCTGCATTTCCGGGTGGTCCGCGTGGACCATCCCTGCCTCGTGGCCCCATTGGTCCGGTTAGTCCGCGCGGTCCTGGAGGACCCGGTGGACCCGGTGGACCCGGTGGACCTGGTGGACCTGGCACTGGTATCGGAATATAGGCAGTTTGTGTTTCTTCCTTCTGTTCGGGTGGTTCGCCTGGCTGCTTGGCAGGCAACAGATTAAAGCCAGGCCAGTTAAGACCTGTTTGGCCCTGCACATTAAAGCCCAGCTGGACACGGGGCACCACCACATATGGTATGCTATCTAAGCCTAGATTATTGTTGTTATTGGGACTTCTGTTTGTATTGGTGATAATTTGTTGTCCATAGGCCAGGGGATAGGCAGTCAACTGGGGCAGACGATACTTTACGTTGGGTTCGCTGAGCATGGGTATCGAATTGGAATACAGATAGTCAGGCACCTTACGGCTGTCCTTATCAGACTCCGGTTCCACTATCTGCGGCTCATTGAAACTGGGCTCATTTCGGCTTTCCTGCTTCAGCTGTTCCCCGGGAGCGTAGAGCACCAGTTGTGGAGCATTTTCATCTGCATTGTTCTCCGAACCCGCGCTACGACCCAAACCCTGAACCCGAACTAGACGCGCCTGAGACAGACCAATTCCAAGGAGTAACACTGAAACAAAGGAATCTTTAGTCGAAAGTTCTTATATCTGAATATTGCAAGCGGCGCTTTACCAAGTATCTTAACACTGACTGTCATCTCAGCTTACTGTTTTGGTGATTCTTTGAACCCACGTCTTTTATATCCAAAAGTTATCCAATAGATAAGATCAATTAGTTCTTAGAAAGGCTTTGTTTTGAGTTAGCTACAATTTTCGCCCACTTAAATCAGATTAATTTGCCTTTGATCTAGGGTTCAATCAACTTTGGCTAATTAATCAATTTCAACTGCCTAGCCAAGCTTGGTCACTTTGATAACTGGGTCAGCTGAGATATCCAAAAAAAAAAAAACTGGTTCGACTTGGCTCAGGCAAACTTAGCTAATCTTTTTGCGTGATCTTCCTTGATGATCCATGGGTGTGGCATTTAAGTAGAAGCTCATTAGCTTCGTTAAGATTGAGATACAATTTTATTTATTGCTAGATGAAAGTTTCTTTGGTATTATTAAGTATATGAAGCCTAAGAATAGATTCACCAAAAAAGATCTTGCACATATTTACTTCAAGTAATTGAATACACAGTAAAATTGCTTATAGCTATAAAAATAGCTTTATTCTAAATTCACATGGATATATTTCAACTAATCGCTGCATTGGTCACCCCTTTTTTTGAGCATTTTGGCATTTCCTACTTTAAAAAACATTAATTTTCATCAGGCCGACAACAAAAACATAAAACATATAAAAAATACTAAATACAATAGATACAAATAATGAATAGTTGAGTATAGTTGGAGCTAGCTGTGAAATTGGAATGAAACCGAAAGTTCAGCTGAGCTATTATTATATGTGAAATTCAAGTATTATGTATGCCAAATACTTATACATATGAAACCCAGTTAGAAAATAAAAAGTATGTGCAGCATTTAATTGAATTAAATCAAAAGCAATGTATTCGGGCAATTAAAGAGTTTGCCAATGTACAATGGAACGCAGCATGGGGTTGCAGCCCCTCTGCGAATGCTGTGGCATAATTGAAGCCCCAAGCCCGCATCCAAAACTTGTGGTCCACTAAAACGAACTGAGTGTCCAGTTGCAAACAGTAGAGCCAGTTGCGCCGTGGCGTGCGCGTCGTTTGGGCGCTTGTCGCCTAGTCGAAACGTCTCTAACTCTCGTTGCCACAAGTGGAAATTTCGTGTTGCAAGCATCGAAGTCGTGTCCTACGGTACACAGGATGTGGCTACCACAGCCACTGCTGCTGTCGCTTGTCGTGTGCACTGTGCTGCGCTCCACGATTGGTTCGGCCAGCGGAGCGGCCTCACCCACCGGTGGTCAGCTGCGTCGCATTTGGCTGCAGGATCATTGCACGGCGAACATTTGCACGGGCGTCGAGATTGGACGCAATGATTATGTTATTCTCTCGCAAGCACCCATTGCCAAGCAGCTGATGCTGACGTTCATCAATTCGAGCATTGCCAAAATACCGCATCTAATGTTTGACACGTTTCCCGACCTGCAGCTGCTGCGCATGGAGAACTGCACGCTGGAGACTTTCGAGAAGCCGCAATTCGAGGGCGCCAGCAATTTGATGAGCTTGTTTTTGGGTCATAATCGCCTTAAAGATATACCCAAGAATATTTTTCTTGGTGCCGACAATCTGGCAACACTGCACTTGGAGAATAATCTGCTAAAGGTGCTGCATAATCACAGTTTTCATGCGCTAAAGGAACTCAAGGACCTGTCGCTCGCTGACAATCAGCTGGAACAGCTGCCCCTGGGCGTTTTTGCTGGGCTGCGTAAATTGTTGGATTTGAATCTGGCGGGCAATCGGCTAAGAGCGCTGCCACGCGGCATTTTCGATAAGAATTTAAATATGACTCGCTTAAGTTTGGCGCGCAATCTTCTTGCGACCTTTGAATCGGAGATACTAAAACTTCAGCCGCGCCTCACACTGCTAGACATCTCCGGCAATATACTCCACGAACTCACGTTGAATTTCTCGCTGCTGGAACAGGTGCTGGCCCACAGCTGCGACCTGCGCCGACTTACTGTGTATGGTGTTATAAGGGAGCTGGACTTGCACAATAATTCATTGCGCGAGCTGCCGCACATACCGCTGGCGAGCAATGTGACCAGCTTGGACCTATCGCAGAATCCCTTGGGCAACTTGCAAGGGAATCCTTTGCGTCGTTTTACAGCATTGTTGCGCCTCAACTTGTCGGCTACCAACACACATGAGCTGGCAGAGGGTCTCTTCAAGAAGCAAACGCATTTGCAAATGCTGGACATATCGGCGAATACCATCTACTCCCTGAAGATCACGCTCTTCGACAGTTTGAAGGCGCTGCAATATTTCTACTTTCAGCAGAACAATTGGAACTGCGATTTTCTGCAGTTGCTCATGAGTTCGTTTGTGAAGAAACGCGATATTTCGTTTATGGAGGATCTGACGGCACCCGAACTGGTGGATGATTATGTCGATGGCATCGCTTGCTGGTATGAGAGCGACAAAATATCCAAGAAGTGCGACGGAGCAAACTCGGAGGCCGCTCTGGAGCTATCTATAGTCCGGAATGAGATCAAAGCCTTTACCGAGCTGGTGGATAAGAAATTTGTCAGGGTCTATCGCATGTTGGAGGAAATGAAACTCAAGCTGTAAAACGCTAGAGCTGAAAGATAATATCTATAAAAACATTAACAAGACGCGCTTTTTATTCCCAAGCGTGCGCATATCTATTCAATTACATTATGGATATATTATCTATTTAATATCCTATATATAATCGTCTTTTAAGAAATTATAATAATTGACACAAGCAAGCCACTGACAAACATTTAAATAAGTGTACATCTAATAATAAAGCGCAGTACTCTTTGAGAGCCAAACAAAGCTGGCTTTACCTTTTTTTATTTTTTTCTGGATAAGTACCGGTAGAGATATTGTAATTCAGTTAAAATCTTCTATAAAACGCGGGTTGTTTTCTTATAGCACTAGAGCTGTTGACCTGCATTTATTTTGATTAAATTTATGATTAATTGAATTGATTATTGAAAAATTGAAAGCAAAATACTTTTTCGAACAAAGATTTGAACTCCAACCAGGGCTCACAGTTATGGAAAAACGGGTACACGACCCGAACCTTGGGGAGAGGCATCAGTTGGAACTGTTAACCGAAACATCGAAAGCGTTTGCATGATTCGTGGCCAAGGTAAACATATCAATGTACCCACAGGCCTTTTATTATTTTTTTTTTTTTGTTTACGAAGCCGCTTTCAATAGTTCGTTTTATTGCCTGTTTTCGTTGTTTTTTCTGTTATTATTTAAACTTCAACTTTTTTGAATGACTTTCTTGTGATTTGCTATTTGGACTGTCAAATATTTTTTTTTTATTAATTGTACTTAGGTTTTGTCTAAATTTATCTAAGCTATTTAGTTCCAAGGCTTAATATATACATAGAAAAGACAATTCTTATTTTGATTATATCTATTATGGTATACATTATTATTTGGTAACAACCAGCCGAATAGTTGATGACTTAACCGCCTCGAGTTCCAGGATTCGAATTAAAGCAAACCACGTGTTCTTTTCAATTATTTAAAGGATTCAAAGAGCACTGGATATATAGTCTGTACTCTACTTGCCTTTACTAATGGGACATTTACTGAGGACTGTAGAAATATTTATGCCAAACTCAATCAGCACATTAAATGATGTTATAGAATTGATTTAATTAGATTTTTTTTAAATATTTTAAATAATAATACTTAGTAAACATATTCAATTCACGTAGTTTAATTATATTTAATATTATCTAATTAGGCATTATTACTTTTAAAAGATATTTTGCTAACTACAAATGATATTTGAAATTGCATTTTCAACTGTCCTGAAAAGGCATTTCTTATGCTGTAAAGAGTGTTTGTTGTATAAATATCATATGCATTCTATGTGCTTTACGAAAACCCATTAAGCACATTTCATCATTTTTTTAATGCAAAACCGATACGCACATAACACGGATTTAAACAGCCTATTGTGACGAATATATGCGTCGAAATTATTAAAAAAAAATAATTTAATATACCATAAATATTTTACTACAATTGAAAAGCAAAAACAAATACACTTTTGGCCATTATGAAAGCTATCTGCGAAATCGCACACTAAAGAGACAGAGTCGGAGTGACACTTAAAAGCCGACAAAACTTAATTAAATGCAGACACACAGAACACACACACACACATACCAACTCACAAAAGTAGCTTTAAAAAATAAAATAAAAATAATAAACAAATATAAATATTTTTTATGAGCTGAAAGCGAGAAAATGCTGAAATAAAAAAATCATAGCATAAATATTTTTGTTATGCATGCAGCTGCATATGCAACACACATGCGTTAGCTTATATCTGTAAACAGATGCATGTTATTATAAACTGCGGTCAAAACATAAATCCACTTAGCCTGCAATTTATACATATACATTTCAGGCATGGTTTGGCAGGAAATTTAGTTAATATTTTTATTACAGAATTTAAAATGTTTGTTTCTGTTTTATATACTCTGAACCCATTAAAAATGGGTAAAAAGGGTATATTGTATTTGTGCAAAATGTAAATGTATGTAACAGGCAGAAGTAAGCATCTCCGATCCCATAAAGTATATATATTCTTGATCAGCATCAATAGCCGAGTCGATCTAGCCATGTCTGTCTGTCTGTCCGTCTGTCCGCCTGTCCGTATGTATGAACGCAAGTATCTCAGAGCCTATAAGAGCTAGAGACTTAAATTTTAGATGTAGGTCCTCTTAGTGCCTGCACAGTACGAGTTTGCTTCCGATAATCGATAACTCGCTCCGGTTCCAAGTAATCGATAAAAATCGATATCAAAATCCTGTTTCTTGAGCAATTTATGTAAATAATAAGAGCTAGAGTAACCAAACTTGACATATAGCATGTATATATATTTGCATTTGATGTTGAAAGAAAAGGCTTCAGGGTATCCTCTAGTCGGGAGCTCCGAATAGAACCTCTTACTTGTTCTTCGTCCTTCTTATTGCACTTGTATATAAATGAAATCTCTTGTGAGATATAAATGAAACTAGCGTACCCAAAACTAAACTGAAACTCAAAACACATTCCAACGTGTTAAGCTGTATATAAGCAATTTTCGAATAAATCGCCACAGTCTGCCAGACGGTAAAGATAAATTAAACCAATTCTGCTTTTTTTCGCTTGACTAACCAATGTAGCCATTTGCTACATCCCAATTAAAAAATGCAAGTCGTTTAATAGTTTAACTCGCAACAATTTAAATGCAGGAAGAGAACTTCTTTAACTGTAAGCGCCATAAAGTATGTAGAAGATTTTAAAGCTTATGCCATTAAGATGTTACTGTTATTGGCTTGGACCCCGCCCGCGGCCCCGCCTTTGTCTCGTCCGCTCACTGACTGTAAGATTTGTAGTACTAACTGCTGTAAGCAACTTCCGTTTCCGTTATGCGACGCGTTGTTCCCACTGTCTGCGTTCTGTTCCTGGCATTGTTGCAGGGTAGCCGCGACGCGCCGTGGCAACTGTGGCAGCTGCTGTTTACTCAGTTAGCAAAACGTTGCTTTAACAACGTTAACATGCTAACGTTATGCAACATATGCGCAACAGCAACTAATACACACACACACCTACAGTCCCTGCTGTCATAGCGACTGGTTTCTGCCTTCAACTAAATTAATTTTGGAAAGTTTTTGAAAATTGGTGTTGCTTTTGCTGTTGCTGCTGTCTCAGCTCATTAGGAAAACAAAAGCTGCAGAGAACTCTCAGTTTTTTGGTTGCTTTCATTGCCACTTGCTTGTTATATACTTTACCCATTCAAACAAACCCTAAATAGGGTATCCTTGACTTGTGTGACAGGCACTTTACAAGCTGTGTAAGAAAATTAATCATATTATTTTATTTATATTTATTTAATCTACATAACAGTCTGATTGCATACAATCACTCACTCAAATTAGTTAATTGATATTGCATATCTCCTTTTAGGATAGGATATTAGTTATGTGCACTTGGATTTCATAAAAATGAATTTTCACTTGCTAAACATAAGAAAATAATTCAATAATATTTTTTATTATTTTTCTTCTGTAAAAGCAAATTCTTGATATAATATTCAAATGACTTCTTAATTCTTGACTGTTTGATAATCTAATTAAGTTGACCAATTTTAAATTATGAAAGAGTCACCAAAGATATAGAAGACTTACAGTATTTTTGTATTAATCAGAGCTAAATATCTGAAGTTAAAAAACATTTTGAACCGGGCATTGCTTTTTCGAGTAATCTCTTTTAGTCGAGCACTCTTTGTCAGGGAATTACCCTCTTGTCTTTATTGCCCTTGTTATAATTAAGTTGATTTTATTAACCGAACTTTACAAGTTTCATTCGCCCTTCTTGCTGCCACCTCTACCTAAAAGCCATTCGGCCTTCCCTCTTTCACATTAATTGAACTTTTACACTTTTGAATTACTAATTACATTGTTTCACAAGTCCTTAGCCTTGCAACAGATGTATGTTGGATAGAACTCTTGGCCGCATTACAATCTATACAAACTCCTGCGTCCTTAACTAAACTAATGCATTTGGCTTTAAGTTTATTTCCTCAATGCGGCACCATAGATCACATTTTATGCAACGGATTCCAAGTAAAGCAAAATTGCGGCTAGGCGGTATGAAGTTATTGGACCAGCCAGTTCTGCGGAGCTTGTTAAGGGCGAAATTGAGCTGGCTAATCCACTTCAAGCTCACTGCAAGTTCAAGGGATAAACGAGCTGGGCTTTAAGGTTGGCCGCCGATTATAGTACTTGTCCATTAGAGCACATCTGTTTGATCTAGTACACTGTCCTTGTTTAGATTTTCGACGTGTAAATGGCATATTTAGCTCAAATATAAAAACCACATTCAAGTAAATAGGATTTCCACTGAAATTATCTTTAAGCTCCCCAAGAAAACTCAATAAAATGTATTCCGCTATATACACAATCCCTTAAATTAGATATGTATTTATTTAATTAACAAGCTATTCTTATTGCTCCAAATTATGGAATACTTGATGCTTATGCTCAAGAGCGTCCATTAAGAGGCCTTAAAAAAATGAGTCAAGAGACAAGCAATTGGAATGTTCATTGTATGCAATAAATTTATTAAGCTAAAGCTGACATATTTCACACACTTGCATGCAATTATGTGCATATTAGCATTTCGCTATCTCGCTCTCTCGCACTTTGTTTCTCTCAATTCTTTCTGCCTTACAATTAGGTGTGCAATTAGGCATTCGAGCACATTAAAAAATGCTGCCTACTTTTTGGCGCACATAAATAAAACTTAATGGCTACAAAAACAGATGCTTATCTGCCCGGCAGCGAAAAATAAATGCAGGAACTATTGCGGTTGTGGTGACTAAGATATATCTTATAAAAAAAATTCAGAAGGTTACTTCTATACGAGCTCACGTAGATGCAGTGCAATAGCATTTAAAATATATTTGTTCATAATTTATTATTTAAATATAGTAATTTAAGCTTTTGGACCTAGCTGACTGATCTCGAAAACTTATTTAAATCATTTTATATAAATTACTTCGATTTACTAGGGTTATATAAAATATTATATATTTGATATACCCATAGTTATTGTGAATCATTCCAAAAATATAAGTATATCAGATGCTGGGTATCAATTCGGTGTGAGCTTTTGCAGCATTAAAATTCAATGTTGCTTACATGTGCTGGTGTTGGTCCCCCCTTCTTCTTACCCCGTAATTGAGCAGCCATGAATAATATACTCGTGCATGTGAACGTTCGTAAATACATGCGTATAGATAT